TTTGATAACAAGAAATGCTGCATGAAATTTAAATTAATTTAGTCTTTATTTTTTAGTGGCTCTGCAGCAAACGCACTTAATTTAGTACAACCAGCGCATTTTAGTTCTTTACGCAAATGGTACAGCAAATATTGGTGCACTGAGCGCTTCACTTCCATATAATATCCACTTAATAACCTAATAGCATAGTGGCTAAAAAAAAACGATTTATCCAATTGTACCCATTGGTAGACTTTAGAATCCATTGCAACACCTTGCATATTATTAAAAAATTCTGTGTTTTTACTACTCATTTTGCTGCTTTTCATCTAACCATCCTATCCATCAATCTATAATAGGAGTTTTGCATTCAAATACCCCACAGGTAAAAAAACCTATATGCATCTACAATTTAGTTTTGTTTAAATTGTAGATTCTAAAAATGTCGACAAAGCTGATGCACACGATGATTCAGTTAATAAAGAGTTAAATACTGACTTGAAAAGACATTCAGAAGAGGCCAAAGTAACTAATACTTCTGATGAAGACAATGTAGGAACGAGTTTGGAACCTTCAAGTGAATATAAGACGGCAGGTGACGAACCGTTTCCCACAAATGATGAAAGTATCATCATAGTAACTCCGGTAAAAAGTGTAAAATCTTTATCGCCAGTAAATAAATGTCAAGATTTTATCACAGTAAGAAGAAAACGAGGTAAGCTAATAACGGGTAACTTAACTGAAAACAGTGCGATTAAATATTCGACTCTTTCAGAGGAGAAAAAAACGCTTGATTGCCCAGCAACACCGACGGATCAAAATATTGAGAGTCAGATGAAGGTAATGCTTGACTCTATATATGGAAAGTCATGGAGAGCTCATCAGCAAAAAGTGTTTTTACCAATGTCTGAGCGGAAAGTAAAACGTTCAGATAATATACCGATTGTTGCTCCAATCACGGAAAGGTAAACTGATTAACAGCACTTAAGAGATATTTTGTGGAGGCAGGTGTCTTAAATGTTTGGGCAATTAAAATAGTCCTTTTTTGTGGTTGTTTTTCAAATAAAATTGAACTGGATTATCGAAAAACGTAAGAAGTAGCTTATTGAAGTTCAACCCACTGAAACTCAAATAGTGAACATTTCAAGAAAATGGCATGGCATGTTTCGTACATTAGTTCGTTCTAGTTCCCAATTAAACTTTACAGTTTTACGGTAAGCATGAAATAGCTTTAATATTTTATTTTTTGAAGGATTATAAAGCCGCCCTTCAAAAACACTCTGTTACCGAATAAAAAGTTGACTCATACCAAACTTAATTTTGATTCGCTGAAGAAACCGGTAAAATCGCCTTGGATAAGCAAACTGAAAGGATTAGTAGATTCCGACTCGGCTGATGAAGGCAACAATACAAAAGGTAGTTTTGTTTTATCAACTAGCTAATTTGGTCCGGTATTGAGTAAGTCGAGTTCTTTCGAAGAAAAGTACTCCGACATATTGTTTTTTTGCGTTAGTATTATAATGCTAATGCTGTCATCATGAAATTACTTTTATTTAATACCGATTGTAGTTTTTATCGTGGTTGTTTAAAAAAAACTATTTTGTGCTAACAAGCGTGCTCAGAACAGAATGATCTGAAGAATCATATAGAAAGCTTTTATACTATTGATTTTAATAAAAAAACATTTTTTGACGAAAAACTTCCAGGGTCTTATCAATAAATGCAACAAATACAGCGTGATTCAGGTTTAATGTTGGTAACTTCAATAATCGATACAAGACAGATTGCAATAATGTCCTCACATGATCTAAAATGTTACTTTAAATCGCATCGTTACAGGGATAAATAAAACGATTAATCGTTAAAATAAAAACTTTTTCCGTCTTCTTTCATACGTTTTGAACAACGTAACTGTGTAACTTTTGTGTCTAGTGCAGACTATTTATTATTCATTAGAAGTGTCGTGTGTTCCAAACCTTAATCGGATGAGTGGTTCAAAATGTATGAGAAAATCGAGAAAATGTTTATTTCAACACGTTCTAGCTCTAAAACAATGTGATTCAGGCAACAATTTACATCATGTAAGGGTACTATTCTAACTAACCTATTCTTTCGATTCTTGATGTTATCAAGATGAAACCTGAATCACCCGAAGCAAATAAATATTTATTACAGAAACTTGTTTGATTGAAATAAATATTTTCCCAACATACAAAAAATAATTGAACATTTTCCATAAAACACCTACAACTGATGCGGAACTCAAAAAATATTTATTTCGATTTAAGCAGACAGTTGCAACTAATTTTTCAAATACCCTGATCAAATGAAATTACACATGGTAAAACAATTACAGACAAAAATAACGAACTTATATATCTGAAATGCTCCTGGGTTATTCGAAAAAATGGCCTCACTCTGTTCCCTTTTAGACCGGTGACGATGGCTTAAATATAGCCGAAACGTTGGTCCAGGCAAAAGTGTTTTATTTACGATACCGTTATTGACCGATAAACCCAACCATCTTTTAGTATATTGCAAAGTAGCAAAATTTTATATATTTATCAATAACTAAGCAAAAACTAATTAAAATAGTTTGTTTGTTCAACCTGGCAAAATGTCGTTTTTTGGCTGATATTGATAGCAACGTTGAAGATTAGATTTATTATTTTTGTTGAAAATTTCTTTGATCATCATTTGAAATCTTATACTGCTCATTAGACGCATAAATAAAATATTCGCAGTAGTGAGAAATTCCAATCAACACAGGTTTTCTAGAATTATCTGAGTGGAAAGTAAAATGTTTTGGCACTTTTCCAAGCATAGATATTTGGGCTTACAGCACCATATACAGCAAGTTTGCCCATTTTTTTCCATTGTGGCCGACTTATTTTGCAAAATATAGTCTGTGGCTGACTATAAATATGGGCAAACAATTTTGGAGTTTCTGTAAATATTTCACAGTTATTTTATTAAATAATTAAAAATAATTTCAATAAAAAAACTATAAAATTTAATTTGTTTTTTGTAGTTTCTCGAGCTACTTTGAAAACATTTGCGGTCGACCGTGAACGTTGGCTACCGCGAATGACTGTGGTTTATGTTTCGTTAGATGTTTTACTGTCTTTTCCGACAGAAAAATTGATACATGTACGCTTTATCATTAAAATCACTTAACCAATGTATTTTTGTTTCAGACATTAAAAAAGTTAAAAGTCGGCTTAATTTTGGTGATAAAACTCCAACAAAGAAAAGTGTAAAAAGTAACCACTATGAAGAAAATACTGCTAATGTCAAACATTTGCTTAAAGAGTGCAACATAAAAGCAAATATTCCTGCAAAGGCAAATCTGCAAAAGCAATATTATTATCAGAATATTGAAAAGGGTGCAAATACTATTGGTAAACGTAGAACAGAAAGTTCTAGTTCAATAACAACAGATGAAGAATATGACAAAGAAATTGAAATTTTGGAGCTAACAAGAAACAAGACAGTACGCGAGAAAAACAAAAAGTATTCCTTTTTGGAATCGTTATCAGGTGAGTGATTATCTCAGGAAGATCTCATAATAGAAATGAATTAATGGTATAAGAAATAAATAAATCTGTTTTTGATTTAGCAACTGTGCCATTAAACCAGTGTGACATGTCTGCACGATTATTCCGAACTAACTTTAAGCAACACAAACAGGAATTGGCGAAAAGGCTATTTTCATTATTTAATGAGAACGTTTTTGACGATGCCATTCCAGGAAACTGTGCAATAGAATGGAATACCAAATTAACAAAAACAGCTGGATTGTGTCATTTTAAAAAAATTACTCACCGTCAGGGTCAAATTGAAAGACAGGTATTACTAAGTGGGTCTACTTTTAATATTTGTTTTAGTGTGTGGTACTATGGAATAATTAAAATATCTCGCAATCTAGCCATCCGATTTGTCTGAAATTTTTTGCAATTTTGTACCAAATAACGCCCGATTTAACTGTGGATATGGCATTTTTGCCAAGTATCTCGTTTTTTTGAAGAGATTTTCTTTTTTCTAATCAAACCCTATAGATGGTTTGTGATTTTTAAATTCCGCTTGCAATTCAGAACACTTCGTCTTGGAAGCATTATTTTCTATCATTTGAAGTTATTGAAGAAATGGAGGTCCAAAATCTTTATTTTAATTAATTTTACTTCAAAGCAACTGTAGGCGAAAGCTTACCGAACATTCCTCCATTTGTAATAACTTTCAATTTTAGAAAAAAGTTTCGAAAAAAATTCTTGAGGAATTCTAAACTCGAATCTAATTGATATTGTTTCCTTAGAAACAAATACCAATTGCGTAAACCTTAAGCAAATATCAAATTAAATCTACATATTTGTTTTAGGTTAAAATTAGTTTATCCACTAAAGTTCTAGATTCTCCATGTAGATTAAGAGATACATTAATACATGAAATGTGCCATGCTGCATCATTTATTGTCAATCGCATAACGGATGGACATGGACCATATTGGAAAAGTTGGTAATTGATTTATTGGTATTTAATGATACAATTTGATATTGAATAAACGTGCTGATTGCAGGGCTTTTAAAGCTATGGAAAAGTTTCCAGAGTTGCCGCCTATAAGACGATGCCATGATTACCGTATTAATAGCAAGTACACTTACAAATGTACTGGCTGTCATTATAGGTAACAAATTAGATGTTCGACATTAAACGTTATCAATTTTTAACTAAATTTTTATTTAGTTTTGGAAGACACACAAAATCACTTGACTTGGACCGGAAACGTTGCGGTTATTGTATGGGAAGATTTGAAGTTTTTTTGAACAAAAAAGGCAAAAGTGGTTCCACTAAAGCTGTCCCGATTGCTGAGCGAAAGGAAGTCACAGGGTTTGCGTTATTTGTCAAAGAAAACTATGCCAAGTATAAAGAACCATCGAAAACGCATCGCGACATAATGACAATGCTCAGCCAAAAGTTCGCAGAACTAAAAGTTATAAGTACAAAGTGAATATGTTTTTAAATTTTGTAATTTTATGAAAAAAAACTGATTAGATAATATTTTTTTACCAATAACCTGAGAAGTCACCATTATTTACCCGATTATCTTAGCGAGAAGTTATATTTCTCTCCTTCGGTCCATATAATAATAATAACAAAATCCATAGGTAAATCATGAATATGTGAAAGTTTTTCGTTATATTTATTTTGCCCACCTATCTTCGAGTTCAGGCGAGATTCCAACCATTTCCACTACTCAATCACTGTAACTTTAAGATTCACCATTTTTTCGCTTTTCCCAGAAGTTTTTCATGGAACTTTTATCGGTTTTCCGGAAACCGTTAAATTATATTGCGGCAATTGGACAACTGAACGTCAGGATACATTCAAATATTGCGACACTTCAGAAAATTAGTGCTAAATTCAAAATCTTATTAATTCAATTAAGGCAATTATTCGTGTTGGTACCAAAAAAACTATATATTTCGGTCGAGAAGGCTATTAAATACCTCGCATAATTATGTATATTATAAAAGTTCTCGGTTTATAATGTACTATTATATTATACAGGGTGTCCCGGAATATGTGGGCATGCTTTCGGATTTGTACAGGGAACGTTAAAAAAACAAGTTTCTATAAAAAAAAATCCAGAGGGCCCCTACGGAGATACAGGACTCTAAAGGAACCACCTGAGAATTTTTTTTTAAATAACTTTTAGAAGACTATGCAATTTAATTATTTTCTCACACAATGAACAGTACATCATTGCTCCTAAAAAGAACCGATGAAAACATTTTTAGCATTTCCATTGCCAGGGATGGACTAGGTGGAGCACAATAATAGTATTTTTTTTACTCTTTACAATGAAGACACGAAAATAATGTATTTAGGTAGCTTTAACCTTAAACTAAAAAATACATTCTTGATTCAGAACGGTTTTCGAGGAAAAAATATGTTTATTGAGTACAGAAGTATAGAAAATAGAAGAATTAATCAAGCAAACTAAGCGTTTAACGTGTCCCATTTGCTAATTTACTGAAGATATCGAAGGGATTTAACCAAGGCTTAGCCGCCTTAAAAAAATTTCCATTGGATATTACGAATACTAACATCTTTTCTTGGCTATCTATCATCAGACCAGGTTTTTATTGGCTCGTTTGAACCTCCACTCCTCTAGGAAATGAACATTAAGAGACTGAAAACGTTGAAAACATGTCAGCTCGTTTAAATTCCATGTTTCCACATGTTCCCGGTGAATCTTCAATTAACAGATCCAAACGATTAGGATAATTATCATACACTGAAGCTGGTTAATTTTTTTTGTCTAACCAGGAAGTTTCTTTCAGTACCTACTCCACGTAGCAAGGTTCCCATAATTTATCCTAGTTTTCCAACACTACCAGTGACCTTACATGTTCATTTAAAATGCCGTATCAATGTTTAAAGGCGCTTACTCCTTGTAACTAATGAGTTTTTACCAGTTCACGGGAACTTGGCCTACATTCTTTGCCTCAATAATTAATTCCTGTTTCACGTATCAAGTTTAAAAGCTCCACCCTTAAACAATGTTTCGCCTTCGTACGCGACTATTGAGTGCATAACGTCTTACATTATTCCAAGTGTGGGCAGGCTTTCCATTACTAGTTTTTTAGCATAATGGAATCATTATTTGGATAAAAAGTTTAGAAATATTGCGCTGTAAGTATGCTATTTTAATTACTGGAATTTTGTTGGATTTTATATAATTATATTAAACCTTAACTACATTTCCAACACATCATTAATCAGCAGGCAAATGTATACAATGAGCGCAAAAAATGTTTTAGCGTCACCTATTGAAGCTAAGAAGAGAAAATGTACAATAATCCCGGAACACCTTTACCACATGGAATGATGGACAACAGCTATCAAATTCCTAATCAGAATATATATTTTGATGATGGCATGCAGTTTTACAGAACTAAAAATCAAAATACAATTACAAAGGTAAATTCTTGCTATTCCTCTCTATCAAAATCAGAATCAGTTATCTGGCCCAATATACCACCAAAAATAAAGCAAAAAGTTTAATTTAGAAATTTCTAAAACTCTATGCAGAAATATGACTATAAAAAAAGCTACCTATATGCAAATAACACTCTCGCTCTTTACTTTTGAATGGGCTGTAAAATCTTTAATATATGTTTAGGTGGCTCCTGTCCCTCCTCCAAAGTATTCCAATGCTGAAAATATGGAAATGATGGAATCCATTGACGATAAGAGTGTGAAAAAAAGTGTAATATTTGATAACGTGAAACCTATTTTTGTTACCATGAGGTTACTAGGCATACTTCCAGTTGTTCGCCGTGGTTCAATTTTCATTATTTCTACAAAATGGATTATTTACTCCTTCCTACTATTATTAGCGGTTGCTGGTACAAACCTTTACTTGTATCGATTTTCTTTAAGCTAATATTGTCTTTTTGTGCAGGTTTTATTGGATATTTGAAATATTATAATATAAATGTAACAAGAACTGCTGAAGGACGGTTTGAAGAAGCAGTAATAGATTACCTCTTCACTGTGTATCTGGTACCAATATTTGTTAACATACTAGCCTTATACGAAGCGAAAAAGCAAGCAAATGTGCTGACTCAAATGGTCTCTTTCGAACGTATATATACTAGGATGTTTAAAAAGCGAATTGGATTCGATTTGGGCAGTAAGCCATTGGTGATGACGGTCGTTTTACTGATATTGGGATGTGGTGTAATGGTCATTACCCACTTTTCAATGGCAAACTTTATCATCTATCAGGTAACGAAGGACTATTCTCTTAAGTGCGCTAAACATATATGTACATTATTATTTTAGGTGGTGCCATATTGCTATATAAACGTGATAACTTTCATTATAGGTGGAGCCTGGTATATTTATTGTGATATAATAGGGAACATTGCTACATGCCTGGCTGAAGAATTCCAGTTTGCTTTACGCAACATTGAATACTCCAATCGAGTATGTGATTACAGATCACTGTGGATGATCCTGAGTAAAATAATCAGGAACGTGGGAAATTCATTTGGGTACACCCTAACTTTCCTCTGTCTGTATTTGTTTTTCGTCATAACTTTAACAGTTTATGGATTACTGTCTCAGATTCAAGAGGGAATGGGCGTTAAGGATATTGGTCTCACAATAACTGGAGTTTCAGCAACTCTAATGTTATATTTTATTTGTGATGAAGCTCATTATGCATCCACTTGTGTAAGTCAGCACGTAACACGTACAAGTAGTGTGTTGTATGTAACTGATGTCGTTCCTCTAGACGTGTTTAGGGAGTTTAAAATAGTTGAACACATTTTCGACAACATTGTCCATTTGCCACCCGCATAGAAATATCTTTAGAACCCGTTCTTTTCCAAATAAATAAATTCTGGTACAATTTTGCAAAAGTACTTGTTTGCATCTTTTAAGCACAGGCACATTAGGTCGGACCTTAATTTTTTTTCGTCGGGGATTTTCCATCGGCTGAAAATCTCTTTTATAGGCTCTAAAAGTTCGGCGCAAAAAGAAATTGGACTTTTCCATGCACGTGCCTCAAAGAACCAAGTTTTTCATTGATTTTATATGAAGAAAAAACGTATTAATTTGTTTAGTAGCTAAATTTCGGATTTTTGTTATTGAAGCTTTACTGAAGCTCATTATTGACTGGAAGGGAACCATCAGTTTTTTTCAATATCGTGAAAAAAAATTATTATCCTCGGAAAACTCGAAAAAATGAGTGAAAAGTCTTGAGACTGAACCCAGCTGATGAGAGCTAACAGGCTCGAAACCGGTCCTGGATGTGCCTGGAGTGGGCGAACCTCGAAATTTGCATTTGCTTATATGATTTCTTTGTTTTTTTCTCTGTTTTAACTTGGATTTTATGAATTAAGTTAATCATTAAGTTTAAGAATACAATTACGACGTTGGGTAAACCCGCACTGACTCGGATAATACCGACGAAATTCTTGTATTATATATTTAGTATTTAAAGATTTGTTTTGAGCTGCGGAATCCAGTGGCACGCTTATTTTTTGTGTACGAATTACGAATAAGTTATAAGCAGAAACCGGTGCAAACATTGGTGTAAAAAGGTGTTTTCTTGTAACCTTGAAAGTTASTAAAAAAATCGGCAATTTTTCTTCCTTTATATATGCTTTTATGTATTTTGAGTAGCTGAATCGAATGGTGGCATCAGGTGGGTACCTATAGGTTTCAGCAAAAAATAGTTACGAACGAAAATACTCGAAAATTGAAAGACGCAGATGAAAATTATATGCTCATTATTGCCAATCAATGTTAGATTTTTTTAATAAACTACGTATTGTCACATATAGGATCACAAATAGGATCATTTGGGATTAATTTTGTGTAGGTAAAAATTATAAAATAAATGAAAAATGATTCTAATAAACAAAACTTATAGAATTGATAGTTCACAGAACTTGTATTTAATTTTTCCAACTTTATTTATAATAAACTTTCAATCATTTTTGATCGTAAACTAACACTATTTACAAATTACTTTAATTTAACTTATTCAGTCATATGACTTCATCAGCTTGTTGTTTTCGCTATCTGGAAATAAACCGAATCGTTGATCATAAGTAATAAGTATTGTATTTGTTTAGTATTATTTGTCAAAAGCTTGTAGAACTCACTCATCAACTTCTCCTCTTTGGGATTTTTTATTATTTCTAACCCATGAACGTAATCTCTGCGTTTATTCCATTTTGATGGATTTTTATCAAAAAAATCTTGATTTTGAAGCGCCCAAAAAACTTGCATGTATATCTACATATAAAATCACACTTGAATTGACCAAATTAATCGCATCTCTTTCTGTAGCTAAAACTCTTTACTATACATCAACGCGTTAGAGCTTGACTGCAAAGCTTGGCTCATCTTGGGATTTCTTCATTTGAAATATACCGAGAAATAACTTTTTTCTCTTACTAAAAGTAGTCATCATTGAGATATTCACACATTGTATAAAGGAGCTTTTAACATTCAACTGAATATAACAAGGTGATTGGCAATAATGAGCAATAGAATATCATTTTCATCTYATTGCATTTTCGAGTTTTTTGAGGATTTTCGTTTGTTACTKTTTTTTGCCGATACCTTTACAAAAACTGACTTCATCAGCTGAAAATACGTAATTAATTTTTTTTTCTCGTTTTTCAGGTCCGGACATACTTCCAGAAAAAAATTCTGCTTGTTGAACTTTCATTTATGAACGAGGACGCACAGCAAGAAGTAAGTTTTCACTTTTAATTCTCTTAAACTCGTTTAATGTTTTTGATTGCAATTACGTTGAATCTACAGGATCTTGTGGCGTAATATCACTACTTAGTTGAAAAAATCTTCAGTCCAAATACAGTAAAGAAATAATAAAATTTAGTATAAAACAAGCTTTGGACTGTGTGGTTTCATGTAAATTACCGAAATAATAAATTGACATTTATAAATTTATTTCATTGTTTGTTAACGTTGAATGCTGATACTTAAATAATTTTTTAAACTATAAACTATAGTCTTTTTTACTCTGCTTGATTGAGTTCTCTGATTAAAGGGACAGTCTGTATATTTAACTAAATTCAACGGAGATATTTTGGAAAGAGATGAATATTTATTTCTGCAAAAAGAATCGTGACTTTTTTATTGCTGTTTCTTTCGTTGATTCGCGTTTACAGAGTCAATAACGCGTATATCAGTGTCTTATTGGCTTTCCCTTAGTTCACGTTGAATAACAAACAATTCGGTTAATTTTATGTGACTATTTCGTTTGACAAATTAGTTTCCCTAAATGATATTTTTAAACATGACGTCGTAACTGTACAATTTCACATTCTATTTTCAAATTCTTTTCGTTAACAATTGATAGAAACTATTGATCCATTAGCTGTTCTTGTCGTTCTTAAGATCTGCGTCACCAATGTTGATTGACTCTAAATATAATACCTGATTCTTAGTATCCATTAGTACAAAGCTTAGTGGCAAACTTTGTATGCTTTGGTAAAAAGTACAGTTTGATTGAGAAATAATTAAGCATTTTCTCTTGGGTTAATAATATGTAGGAAAAAATCATTTCAATGGAGACGCAATCGAAAAAAACATGCAAATATCCAACCGACGTAACTGATAATATTTTGTCCAGATACGAATCGTACTTAAAAAACAAAAATTTCAATTGAGCTGGTTCAAATTTGACTTCTAAGTTATTGGTTAAAAGCGGTGCAGATATATGCTGTTTTGGGAAGTACCTACATATTCAGCTATTAGCCAAAATCCAAATTTAAAAATGTGTATACGTTTTGTCTATTTTTCTACAACTAAATGAAGATGCATTCCTTCAAACTTGAAAACTGGAAAGTTTTGCAGCTAATTTTGCAATACGGATTCAACTGTGTTATATGCATGGGAAGTGTTCGTCAGACTTAACATCATCAAATAAATGCAGCTGATTTTTCCATTTTGAAAATAAATAAAAAACAATAAAATGTACGTAAACATCAAATTTAACGTATTTTTTGTTCGTTTCAAATAGATTTTTTTATCACTCTTAATCAATAGCATTTTTCGAAAACGGTATATGATTCTAAGAGAAGTTAAAAGATCAAAATTAGGATCTATGCTTGACTCACCAAATGATGCACAAAATTTTTTCGAATTCTCACTGCAAATAACCATGCTTACAATTAGAAAATCCAACTAATGTTAATTATACTTAAAAACTTATAATTGAACATTTTTAAAGCGGTAAGTGGAAAGAGCTGTAAATAAGTAAATCCATGCAAAGTACTGATAAACACTTATGAAAACTATCGTTACTTTGGTAAAAAATACAATTTTTAAATTGTACATCCAAGAAAGTTTGGGTTCGTAGTTTTTAAAATTTCAATAGGTGCTTGTGCTTTATTAATTCTGTTGTTTGTGGAGCATTAAATTAACTTTATAATGTATTCGTTTTTTTCTTTGACAAACGTGTTGATGAAACGAAATTTTGAATTTGAAATGTTGTCTTCTTCATAAATTTAAACGCAAATATTTCATGAAACTACTGTAGAAATTACCAATTGCAAGTTATCTTATTAAATGTTTTAAATGTTCTTCAGGCAGATACAATGATACGGCAGTTGCTCAACATTTTCTTGAACATTGCGAAGAATGTCTGATGTAGTTTGTTGTGATTTATAACTGAAAATTACATAACTAAGACTTAACTATAAAATATAAACGTGTTATTGTGTGTTTGCAACTAATTTTCATTTTCTTTTATAGATAAGCATGTTCTTACGAGCAACAGAAATGAATCCTACCGACATGTGTTTGTGTGGTTTTTTCGATGTCAATAGGAATTTGTTTAAATCGGTAAGTCCATTTTCGCTTACTAAAAAATAGGTAAAAGCCCAACTTTATCATCACGAAAATATATTTCTAATGCGAATATCACTGATTTGACCGTGTTTAGATTAGGTATTAACAATTAACTTTAACAATTAATGAAAAATAAAGCTAACTTTGGTTCAGAAAAACGGTTGGGTTAATGTGAGTTAGCAGCAAATTTTGGCCTAAATCGTTTCAAAATTAAATCTTTCAAATCGGAAAAAGCAATTGATATTAAAAGGACAATAAATCAGTCGGCACATACAAAAATCGTTTCCTTGAATAATAAAATACGCATTTAGCAATTGTGTTTTGGCTTTACTAAAATTTGCTCCAAAGGAAAGTTGTAAGGGTTTAGATCTACTTTCCTTTTAAAATAGTTGTATATATTGTTTCCATTGCTGCTGCAGAAGCTTTTTGGATATAGTTTTTGAATATGTATTGAAACATGAATTGTTTTTTGGATATATCATTATTATGAATCCCAAGGATGTATTACCTAACCATTTGATCCTATTTTTTGAACAAGTCCGAAACGAGACGATGAATAACTAAAAGGAAAAATCAAAATTTATTAGGCAATTTCCACATACTTTGGACAATATTATTGAATCATGCATTGAACCATGTTGTATAGAACATATCTGCAGTTAAAACGTCGATTTCATGTGCTGATCTCTCCGTGTTGGTCTCAAATGTAATCTAATAATTGTTTCAGTTATTGGCGACAATGGTAACTTATTTAGTGGTTTTGCTACAATTCCAAATCAGCATACCTTCTTCGGGTGATGACGTAACAAACAACACAACAAATACTACTCCAAGTGCTCCTAAATAAGCGTAATTTTTGCTTTTCTATAAAAATATAATAAGAAAGTTTACACAATATGATATATAAATATTCTATTTTGTTAAAAAACCATTGTATTCAAATACTTTTTGTGGAAAAAGTAATCTGCAATTGAACATTAAGGGTTACTCTTTGAAAAGATCACTATTTCATTCAAGTCAGAAATTCTATTCATGACCCAAATTTAAATAAATGTTTTTTATCCCGAAATTAAACGTTAAAGCAAACACGGTTACGAAACTAGCATGCAAAGAATTAGTTGTTTATTATATGAAACTTAACACATATCGAGATTTGTACCTACTTTCATCAGGAACCTTTGACTGCTCTGATAATGCGGAGTTTCATTGTTTCATTTATGTATATAACTCTAAAGTGGCTATTTTGATCGCACTTTTTTATCTTGAAAGTAGAAAAGTCGGCTATCAGATGCTTAGGAATTATTAGTCCTGGTTAGCAATCAGAGCTGTTTCTTAAATAAAGTGTTTTTGAAAAATTTTATATCGGCTTTTGATTTATAACGATATATAAATATATCGCATAATGTCCTTACATACACAATATCAGGATTTATTTGAATTTTGATATGGTGCTTCACACATTCACAATTTAAGCGATTGTAGAAATCATCTACGAAATAAGCATCCGATTCATTATACATCTAAGACTAAAACTCCTTTATGTATAAATTCATCTTTAAACATAAGATACATTTTATAACACTCACAATGTTTACTTGTAATTTCCTTAGGGCACCGTACTAGAATAATAAATCGAATAGTTTCTTAATTTTTATTAAAAAATAATTGACTAATTTACGCCTAGGATGGCTTAACCCCCCCCCCACATTTTTACAACTAACCACTTGTAAAAAGCATTTTGGAAGTAGATTTGTTGTAAAATATACACATACTTTCAAATAAATCAATTAAAACCGAAATAAAATGAATCAACAGTCAATAATTGTAAAAATTTGGAAGCAGTGATCAACAACATTAAAATATTTAACTTTACGTATGGCATGGGCCATTTTTTTCAATTTATGACCGTAAATAACATCGATGTTTCCCATAATGTCTGAATTTTGGTTTTAAGAGTCCTCAGCAAAACATTCGTTTAGGAAATTTTCCAAAGAATGATACAAATGAGGACGAACGGAACTGAGACTGTGGTCTTCATCAGTATAGCTCTAAAAATAAAAACAATTGTAACCGGTTAGTATTTTTGCAATAGAACGTTGCACTTACGATTTGTCTAAAGAGGATGTCATTCCTCTCAAGCACTTTAGCCCACATCATGGACTGCTGGTAGTGAACATTATCATCGAAAGTTCCATGGATCAAAAAGTAATCTTTATTTTTCAATCCCGCATACTTTTTCAGAAGTTGAGCGTTTTCATAGCCCTCCAAGTTATCGCTTGTTGTTGGCAAACCCATGAAGCGTTCAGTGTAAATAGAATCTGAAAAAAAAAACATATTTCAATATAAGCCTAGAAAATAGTAAGACTGGAATTGTTAGGTGTTCACATATTTTTGCCCGAGTATTCATTCGAATTTAGATGCAAATACCGAGTGTCAATTTGAAAACTTCCCACCCTTAATGTCTTTCTTGCAGTTGAAAATATAATAATAATATATCGGAAAAACGCGAATGAATTAATATTTTTAGCCTCCTTGTTTCAAAATTACAGAAACAATTAAGCTTGCCTGCATTGAAATTTTGGTTTTCAGAGTAGTGTTTAAACAAAAATTATGTCATTGGGTCTCCTTATAGTACAAATGATTAGAAGATTCGGTTACAACCGTTAAATTTGTTGATTATCAGGAAGAAAATCTAGTTAAAATAATTGATTTTGGATTTATTGATTATTTTACTTCGAGAAAAATATTTTTGTATTTATGGAAGATAAATTTCTACAATAAAACCCATGGGATCTACTTGCGCACTATCTTATAAGGTGTTCAACATGTTGTCTATTTTCCTGTGAATAATAATAAAGTCTTTTTTCGAACCCTCCGTTGATAGATATTCACGGATAGATCGATTGGCAGAAGGATAAGATTGGATAAGGATTGAACACCCTTAGACTTCTTAAGCCCATTGTTTGTAAAACACAACCTACTGATATTGATGATCTTAAAAGGCGAATTGTAGCAGAATGCCGGCTTCATCACATAATTTTTTTGAAGGAAAAGTTTTTTAGCAGTAATCGATTTTCAGTGGCATCTTTTAGGAACTTACATCCTGGAAGGGAGGGGCTGTGGATTTTTTTTTATAAGAGCTTCTTGTTCTTTTGACACCCTGTATATGCGCGAAATGTTTTTTTCTATGCTCTTGATGATTTTGATCTATATCTACGGTTTTAATTTTATGTTATTTTGTAACAACTATTCCTCGATTTACCTAAATATTTATTTGCCTTTAGTGGTTTATTAAAATAACTGCCCAATTTCAGGTAGACTGAAGCTGCAAATTACTTGAAGGCTATTTATTGGCTCAATTTATTGTTCATAAAATTTAAAATGCTTCAATGAAGCCGTCTATCGCTATTTAATCATCTTTTTATTTAGTATTGCTGATTGCCACCAATAGTTTGTGAGATTAAGAAAAGTTTTTGTCACATTTTTGAGCAAAAGTTAATAAGTTTTTCAAAGTTTGATCTTTTGGTGGGATTTTTTTAAACTATATTGAATCTTGAATCTGGACCGGCCATATACCTATTATAAGTATACATATGGGATCGGCCATTTGAGTAGACTTGAAGTGAAGCATTCACAAATTATCGCATTTTTTGGGAATGGTTTACTTTGATTTTGGTGGATCTGCAAAAAATTGTACAGCCTCTCACAATAGACCGGCTAAAAAGGTGTTCACGTTTCATGACAATTGAGTAAACTGATCGGAGAGGCAGTATTTAATTTAGCATTCAAAAGTCGCCCTTTGAACGGCGATTTTTGTTTATCTTTACCCGAAAGAGCAACTTTGTTTACGCTAAATATCCAAACCAGTTTGATCGCCGACTGGAAATTTGCAGAAAATCATCAATAAGCAAATAGCAAAATAATGAGCCACCCAAAGGGCCAGCGAGCAAACGATTATGTGATTTCTGTAGCTTGGTGCGTTTTTTATGTTATAAACACCTTCATTTGGCATGACTTATCGGAAATCTGAACATTTAGCTTAGTCTATTATGGGCAAGGGACTAAATCGGTCGTCGGTTCTTTGTTCATAAACGGGATAAAAGTACCAATTTAGTGCTATTTAGGCACGAACGGTCGACCATCTTGCCTGTTAATTGCTGAGTGTAATCGACATTTATTTTGAACTTTGTGTGGATTCTCATTGCGTGTTCGTCTAGTGTGTGCTTTTTGATGTTTAATGGATAGACAATTGAAAATCGGACGACAGTTTGCAAAAAGTAGGTAAGCAGGATTATTAATTTATAAACCCTTAACTTGAACTGAATTGAGTTTTCGAGAAACATTTAAAGTTCTATTCAATTTTTATTTATTTTTCCTTCCAATCAAATCACTGGGTTTTGAACTAAGTTTATGTAATAACACAGATTTTTCTTTTTTTTCCAGCTGGTACAATGCAGCTTTCGGTAAGTTTTGCATTACTTTTACCGCGAGTGATCCTGAACAACCCATTTAGATGTTGCGCTGTTTTTCCATTTTTTTTTCTTTAACCAGCATACATACTAAATCTATATATAATGCATAAGTATGCATTTCGCAGAGGTGATTAAATCACCTGTTTGCTAAAAATTTAAGCAAATTATTAGCACGTTAAAATGTTGCGTGTGATCCTGGCTAAACCATTTAGATTTCGGGCTGTTTTTTCCAAATTTTAAAATTTAAACAAATTCCTTTTTGCTACACGATTCGTGTTAGGGATTTTCAGGGGCTGGGATCCGTCCCAATAATTGCATTTTTAATTGTTTATTGCTATTTATTGTTTATTGCATTAGTCATTTTTTTCGGTCACGTTTCGCTGAGCAGCTTAAGGATATATGCGTCACCAGCAAATTTAACTAAGAATTCCAATTTTTCATGAGATAAAGTCGCAATTCTCAGTCAAAACTCGGCATCTTTCGGATGTATCGTTCGTCTTCCTTGTATATTTTTTTGTTAAATAACCTATTACCTACTATGCAGGACTGGTGATGGCAAAATGTCATTTTTCATTCAGAAATCGTGCATCATTTTTACATTATTTTACTTAACAATTTTTATACCCGAACTCGCGTATACTGCAGATGAATGCGACAAAATTCGAACTTCAGGAACCGGTACGGTTTTATTCAATCCCACCGATGTGTATAAAACCTGCTGGTCCCAAGAAGAAATTGCAATTTTAACAGCCCGAGTAATATTGGAAGATGTTATTCCCGATCCAAAGCTGATTTCAGTTCAATGCAACAATGATATTCAAGACTTGGTCGGATATTTCAAGGTATACCTTCACATGATGCGCAAATAAAAAAATAGCGATGCATTGCTTTCCTAGGCACTTATAGACACCATTCGCTTCAAAACCAAAGCAAGAAAAAGGCACATATTGTTACTGGCGCTCACAGACTTGCTGGGAGGCTTTCTACATCATGCCCTCCTCCCGATGGCTAGAAAAGCGTACTATTCGGGCGCAATCGATTACATTTATATGGAGAAGCTAATTCAACTGTACGAAGAGCTGAAGTGGTTCTTGCGTACCAACGGCCAAGGCTGGGCAAAGCCGATGACGATAACCAAAGGAGTGAAAGTGCCAACAATTGAAATGGAAATGTTGAATTCGGTTTCCAAAAATAACGAATCGTGTTGTCATAAATTAATGTACTATGAGCGCGAACCCCTGAAGTCAAGAAAACGCTCAGTGACTCTAGAGAAGGGAATTTATTTTCCATTGCCTTTTTTCGATGCCAAAAGTCGACCCACAGCCATTGCCCTTCCGCTCAAACACTTTGCGTTACGAAACATTGAATCCAAACGCGCAGCGTTTGTAATAATGAAATACTTCATATCTGCTGAGCGATGCTTGAAGGAGAAACAAGCAAAAACTGACCAGATTCAGAAATTTCAAAATAACTTGTATACATGGATTGATAAAGAAGTTGTGCCTAAACTCAAAGATGACAAGTTTTATTCGGCCTTCGGAGGTGTTCTGAGAGTTCACAATACCTTAAGAACATTGGGAGCAAAGCTGGGAAGCAAAATGTGCAACACTGACGAAGTAGAGGAAGATGCAGGCGCCATCCCGGGAGTTGCTTGCAGTTCAAAGCGAAATAAACTCCTGCTAATTGCAATGCTGGTAATCATAGTCGCTTGGTTCGTAATTGGAACATGTTTCATTTGCTATCGAATGAAGAACAATAGACTAGCGAACCAACGTGGTGAAGATGAGGGAAAACGCACAGACAGCTCATCGTCATTTACATCATCAAGATGGTCTTCGATGATTTCAAAATCTTCCTCAAAAACCGACAAGGGCCCTTTATGCAAGTGCTGCGAATCCACCATCAGTGAACGGTCAACACCAGGTCTGTCATCAACCAGCGAATATGATTCAGAAAAATTGAGGAAAAAAGAACGAAGAAACCCCAAAGCATTTAGAGCAAGTCACCAAAAAGATACTCAAAGTTCGCCTTGCGTGTGCCCTACCAATGATAGTCCCGCAGTTATAGATGCCAATCACTCTATGAAAGTTTTACCGTCTATTGCCGAAATGTCTGAACAATCGCTGCAAAAAGAGAAAAATGGAAGCTTTAGAAAAATATCATTCGCTGATGAATCCGGAATATCGAGTAGTGATGGAGGAATTAAAGTGTGTGCCCCACCTTGGGCTCAAACAAAAAATACATCTCCCTGTCCGATACTTTCCGGAAAAGCAGCCCTCTATTCTACTTCAAGAAGTACGACTGCAAAAAGCCAAGCTGTAATGGAAAGTTCGAAAATGCCATTAGTTAATCCTACAGTTGAAGATCTAGGGATGCAACCAGAATCGAATGAATTCAAACAATCCCATGGGTATCGTTTGGGTAAAAGTAGCTCAACTCAGTTTAACGCATCCGGAAATATTTCAAATGAAATTCGAGTTTCCAAACAGTACGGCCCTTCTTACACATCAAAAATGGATAAAACTGCTAATCACATAAGCCCATCAATCGTCGATAATCCTCCATTGAAACATAATGCTGCGGAAACAACTAATGACTATACCACATCCAACCAATCCACTGTTTTCGAAAATTCTCCTAGTAATCCGATTACCGTTACTAGTGGTACAGGCGAAGAATACAACGAGGAAGAAAAACCTACAGGTAACGATAATAATAATTCCAATGAAGATCCGAGGGCTAAAGAAAAGCGAAACACTCTTTATGACTATCGGGCCGCATGTCATTCGAGCATGAGTGGCAGTTATGATTTATTTCATAAACCCGATCATAATAAACCGTACATTTTTGGATACGACTTCCAAACTTCTAGTTCTTCAGAAGTTAGTGATGATGATGATTCGAAATATTAAACAGTGAAACGTACAGTTGCTGAGGGCATTATAAGCCATTAAAGAGGTCTAAAAATACTTGCAGGGTTTTACTGAAGATGTTCCAACTTGAGATATGTAGATAAGTGAAAGGTGAATAGCTGAACTGGACTTAAACAGATAATGTTAACAATCTGGTTTTTTTAATTGAAATTAGCCAGGTTCGAAGTTTAACTGTAACATACAGATGGTGTTCCATTGTCTTCAATTCTCTAATTATCTAAAGAACAGTTTAAAATAAAATCGGCACGTTTTTATATACAATTACTAAATTTGGAATCTTTATGTTGAACTTGAAATTTGGTTCAGAACCTGGAGGAAGTACCATTTGTAAATGTGGATGAATTTCTAAATACAGGGTGTTTAAAGCTAGCAAGCAATAAAATCCGAGCTGAAAACAATTAATAATAATCATATAATTCATCCTTGTTTTAAAATTGTCTGATCTAATAATATCGTTAGTTTTGAATGAAAATGAAGCCACCATGAAGATATTCAGTAACACTTGCAGGGTTAGTCAAAGTCAAGTATTGGAGCCTCGTTTTCTGTCTCAGCTGCGTAAATGACTAGATTTGTTAGCATAAATAGCGCCAATTCTGAATGTTTAAAGCTGAACTAAACAGTATGAGAAATAATGTAGATTGATTCTCGATTGATTTTTCTTATTATCTCGACAAACTGTCTAAAAATTAGTGCTTTTCGGTGAACGACACCAATTAACACAAATTTCAACACTATAATCGAAAAACTATCAATTTACGTAGAAAGGTTATTTTTTTTACGCGGATACGGTATGCCGGTTTCAATTTTCACCTAGTGAAATGTGACTTAGTAACTGCAACTTTTCCAACCAACATTTATCTGATATCGATATCCAAGAAAATGATGCTCGGTTCAAAAAAAATTCTTCAGAGGATTAGCGGCATTTTGAGATCATCGGATGTAACCATATGAAAAATGAAGTCTAAAATATCTCAAACCACAACATTTGCAGATGTAAGTCTGGGGTGATTAGAGGTGATTTTGCGAAATTTGATAATATGTTGATTTGTCTTCATCGCAATTTGTACGTCACATTTACCAAAAAAAGTGGAAAAGTATTTTTGTTTCGCACGCGTTACATGCACAATTTTATCTGTGAGCATCCTATATCTTCAAAAATAGGCATTATTTTTAAATGAGCGGTAAATTACCTTCATTGAGAGTTGGATAAAAATGAAAATATAAAAAAATACTTTTAAATTTTGTATGTATTTCAAAAAGAAAATATAATTTTATAACAGTTAAAAAGTACTTTACCGCACATAATGCGGTTACGGAGCCTTTCGACGAAAGAATTAATGCTTTTCGCACCCAAATGAGTACGGTAAAGTGCACTTGCACCTATGCAAGTAGGTGAAAATATTTTGCTTTGTGCGCTAAAGTTTCGTTCCGGCATAATAGAGAGTTTTTAGGCCCCTTAAAATTACGTTGGCCTTAAACGCTAAACGTTATTGTAATCATGCGCAGTGTTAAAAAAATAAGGTGTTCAGGCAAATAACGTTAAGTGGGTTTTTTAGTTTTTGATTCCGCGTTTGTTGCACTCTTAGTATAATAAACCTCACTCTATTGTTTTTTTATCCCGTTTTGTTCGGAAAAGTTTCAAAGCTAGTTTAAGTTTGTATTGTTATTAAACAAAAAATGGCTAAGCTGGAAGAAAACATTGAAGCTGCCTTTCTGCGCAGGAATGACCAGGGAAATGTGGATCACGATTTAATAGAAGGCTTAATTTTACACGACATCTTTGACTCACCTGTTGCTACAAACTGAAGGGCTATTTTTAATTTAGAAAATATTGAGCCCAGAGATTGCCCTATCAATTTTAGGTTTTCTAAGGAACATATT